CCTAGTTTTTCTAGTGTTTTGAACATAAAGGGGTGCTTTTCTGCATTTATCGAGATGATCATATGGTTCTTATCTTTAAGTCTATTGATGTGATGAATTACATTTATTGATTTCTGCATGTTGAATCAAACTTGCATCCCAGGGATGAATCCCACTGGATTATGGTACATGATCTTTTTGATATGTTTTTGTATCCAATTTTCCAGAATTTTATTGAGGATTTTTGCATCTATGTTCATTAGAGATATTGGTCTGAAGTTTTCTTTCTTTGAGTTGTCTTTGTCTGATTTTGGAATCATGGAGATATTGGCCTCATAGAATGAATTTGGAATTACTCCCTCTTTTTCTATTTCCTGAAATAGATTGTGGAGTATTGGAATTAGTTCTTCTTTAAAGGTCTTGTAAAACTTGGCTGTATATCCATCCAGTCCTGGGCTTTTCTTGGTTGGTAATCTTTTGATGGATTCTTCTATTTCCTCACTTGATATTGGTCTGTTTAAGTTGTGTATATCTTCCTGACTCAATCTGGGCAGATCATATGACTTAAGGAATTTATCACTGCCTTCACTATCTTCTATTTTATTAGAGTATAAGGTTTCAAAATAACTTCTAATTATCTTCTTATTTCTGTAGTGTCTGTTGTGATATTGCCTTTTTCATACCATATGCTAGAAATTTGGGTTCTCTCTCTTCTTCTCTTTGTTAGCATGGCTAAGGGTCTGTCAATCTTATTTATTTTTTCAAAGAACCCACTTTTAGTTTTGTCAATTTTTTTCAATTGTTTCTTTTGTTTTGATTTCATTGAGTTTAGCTCTGATTTTAATTATTTATTGCCTTCTACTGCCTTTGCTGCTGATTTGTTCTTCTTTTTCTAGGGCTTTGAGATGTAGTGTGAGGTCATTTATTTGTTGGCTTTTTCTTCTTTTAAGGAATGAAGTCCATGAAATGAATTTTCCTCTTAGTACTGCTTTCATAGTGTCCCAGAGATTTCAATATGTTGTGTCTGAGTTTTCTTTTACCTCTAAGAATTTTTTAATTTCCTCCTTGATGTCTTCTGTAACCCATTGTTCATTCAGTAGCATATTGTTCATTCTCCATGTGATGCAGGAATTTTTCTTCCTTATTTTATCATTGATTTCCAATGTAATTCCATTATAATTGGATAAAATGCATGGTAGTATCTCTGCTCCTTTGTATTTGCTAAGAGTTGCCCTGTGACATAATATATGGTCTATTTTCGAGAAGGATCCATGTGCTGCTGAGAAAAAAGTGTATCTGCTTGATGTTGGTTGATATATTCTATATATGTCAATTAAGTCTAAGTTATTAATTGTGTTATTGAGTTCTATAGTTTCTTTATTCAACTTTTGTTTGGAAGATCTGTCCAGTGGTGAGAGACGTGTGTTAAAGTCACCCATGATTATTGTGTTGTGGTCTATTTGACTCTTGAACTTGAGAAGAGTTTGTTTAATGAACATAGCTGCACCATTGTTTGGGGCATATATATTGATTGTTATGTCTTGTTGGTGTATGGTTCCCTTGAGCAGTATATAGTGTCCTTCTTTATCCCTTTTGATTAACTTTGGCCTGAAGTCTATTTTACTTGAGATGAGTATGGACACCCCTGCTTGCTTCCGAGGTCCATGTGAGTGGTATGATTTTTCCCAACCTTTTACTTTCAGTCTGTGTATGTCTTTTCCTATAAGATGAGTCCCCTGTAGGCAGCATACTGTTGGATCTTTTCTTTTTAAATCCAGTCTACTAGCCTATGTCTTTTCATTGCTGAGTTTAAACCATTAACATTTAAGGTTACTATTGAGATATGGTTTGTATTTCTGGCCGTATTTGTTTATATTTGTTATTTAACTTGATTTGCTTTTCCTCTTTAACTAGTTTTTCCTTTACTGTACTACCTCCCATTGTTGGTTTTCATTGTGATTTTTCATTTCCTCTTTTTGTAATGTTTTGCCAAGGATGTTTTGAAGCGCCGGTTTTCTGGCTGCAAATTCTTTTAACTTTTGTTTATCATGAAAGGTTTTTATTTTATCTTCAAACCTGAAGCTTAATTTTGCTGGATACAAGATTCTTGGTTGGAACCCATTATCTTTCAGCGTTTGAAATATGGTGTTCCAGGATCTTCTAGCTTTCAGAGTCTGTGTTGAAAGATCAGCAGTTAACCTAATTGGTTTACCCCTAAATATAATCTGCTTCCTTTCTCTTGTGGCTTTTAAAGTTCTCTCCTTGTTCTGTATGTTGGGCATCTTCATTATAATGTGTCTTGGTGTGGGTCTATTGTGATTTTGCACATTTGGCATCCTGTAGGTTTCTAGGATTTGGATTTCTGTTTCATTCTTCATGTCTAGGAAGTTTTCTAATGTTATTTCATTGACCAGGTTGCTCATTCCTTTGGTTTGGACCTCTATACCCTGCTGCACCCCCAAAACTCTTAAATTTGGTCTCTTTATGGGATCCCATATTTCTTGGATGTTCTGCTTGTGGTTTCTATCAGTCTCACTGTGCTGTATACACTCTTTTTGAGATGATATACTTTTTCTTTGTTGTCTGATGTTCTATATTCTAAGTGTTCTACTCTGCTGGTGATGCTCTCATTTGAGTTTTTAATTTGGTTTATTATTTCCTTCATTTCCAGGATTTTTTTTTATAACCTCTATCTCCCTGTAGAGTTGATCTTTTGCTTCTTGGATTTGTTTATTTAATTCCTTGTCAAAGTGATCTTTCATTGTCTGCATTTGCTGTCTAATGTCTTCCTTGAGACTCCAGATCATCTGAACCATGTATATCCTGAAATCTTTATCTGAAATTTTTTCTGTTGCAGATGTTACCTCTTATCATGTTGAACTGTCTTGCATTGTTTGTGGCCCTTTCTTTCCTTGTCTTTTCATACTTCTCACGTTCCTTTCCAGCTCTGTGTAACTATTGTGTTAATGTTTTCACTCTATATATTTATATTGCTGTTTTAAAGCTCCAAAATCTCTCGTGGAGAAAGACAATGTTAAYAGTTCCCAATATCAATAGTACATCATCTATTAGCAAGTTTTCATTATTAATACACTTATAGTTAGATTCTATATCTATAGATATTGGCTTCAATTGTTATTTAGAATATAGTCATTAGTTTCATAAAAGTCATAACCTTTCTGGTGGTGTGTAGAAAACTGAGGGTCAGGCATAGGACATTATGTTAAAGGGGATAGGGGTGAAGATATGGGGTTAATCTAACTTAGCAACTTTGGAGGAGAACTCTAATGAATAGACAGGGGGAATTTATGGAAGAATGCATAAATTCAAATTCCTATCTGTATTTAGAAAATTACCCTGTGTATAAATAGTAAAAGGTAGGAGGTTGAAAGTGGGATAGAGGGAGGAAGAAGAAAAAAATAACAAGGAAAGAAAGAAAAAAGAGAGAGGGAGAAAGAAATAAGAAGAAAAAAAGGGAGGAAGGTGAGGCATATGCAATTCATCTCTTTATATTATTCTGGTGATTCAGTTCTTAAAGTCCTACTTCATGAAAAGTTCTTGGTTTCACATCTGTTGAGGTTGTGAGGACCAGAGGGGGAAGGGTAGAGGAGAATGTATGAGAAGAGAGAGAAAAGAAAAGAAAGAAGAAAAAAAAGTCTCTCAGAATTCTGTTTTCTTTTCTTTCAGTAGGTGGAGTTGTTGATTCCTAGCTTGAGTTTCTATGCTCAGGGTGGTGGAGGTAGCCAGGGTGAGAGGGCTTGAGCTTCTACCTGGAGCCTCCCTACTCTTAGTCTCTGAGTTGGAAATCAGGTGCCTATATAGTTGCTGTTCTGTGTTGATAGCTACGCCCCCCAAAAGCTTGTGAAAAAATTTTGAGTTATCACTGCCAGGGGCGGGGGAGTTGGAAACCGGGTACCTGATCAGCTGCAGAACCACGATTTTAGCCACACCCACCCCATAGATGGTGAGTAAGGTTTTCCAAGGTGGATTCTGTCTGTTTCCTGCATAGGGTGTTTGGTGAGGTTGGGGTGGCTGGGGTAACCTTGTGCTTTGTCCAGAGCTCGGTCTGGTGACCCACAAGCAAAGCTTCTGCGTTCTATGCCGCCTTCTGTCTGCTCGGAGTGCCGTGTGGCTCCGCCTTCCGTCTGCCTGACATAATGTTTTGATGTTCTCCATGTAGTATGAATCAGTACTTTTCTCCTTTTCATAACTAAATAATATTTTACTGTATGTATATATGCCAAAATCTGTTTATCCTTGCTTCTGCTGATGGACTTTTGGTTTGTTTCTACCTTTGTCTATTGTGAATAGTGTTGCTATGAATATGTATATATATGTATTTGTTTTGATTCCTGTTTTCATTTTTCTGGGGGATATATATCTAACAATAGAATTACCTGCTGTATGTTTAACTTTTTTTTGTGACTGCCGGAGTCTTTTTCATAGTAGCTGCACTGTTTAGTGTCCCTACTAGCAATTCATCAAGGATTTCAGTATTTTTTACATTTTGACAACATTATTATTTCCCCTTCCTATTTTTAAAAAATTATCACTTTCCTCATGGGTGTGCAATGGCATTGCACTGTGGTTTTGATTTGCATTTTTCTAATGGCTAATGATGTCGAGTACCTTTTTATGAGCTAATTGGTCATTTGAACATTTTCTTTGAAGAAATATCTATCCTTTGGTTACTTTTTATTTGGATTGTCTTTTTACTGTTGAGTTGAAAGAATTCTTCATATATTTTAGATGCTAGATTCTTACTGGCCTCATAAAGTGAGTTAGGAAGTATTTTCTCCTCTTCTATTTTTTTGATGTTTGAGTAGGATTAGTTAATTCTTTAAATGTTTACCCCTGTTTTATAAATAGAATTTAATGTGACACAGCTTCACTTATCCATCTGTATATCATCTATGGGTGCTTTTCATTACTATTGATGACCAGGTTGCCATAACTCAGCTCTGTATGGTCTGTGCTATGGTTTGGATATAGTACGAATGTGTCCCCCAGACATTCATGTCTAGAAAGCTTGGTCCCCAATAATGGGATTAGTCCAGGTTTGCTAGAGTAATTGTGGTAATAGGAATGCATTTGTCTCAGAAGCTACTGAATGGCCCATTCTATCCTAGTGCAGTATAAAAAAATTGGGGTCAGAGCAAGATGATTTGGTTATTAGGGGAACTGTTGAGAGCCACAGCCAAAGGGGCCCCAGCAAACTTCCAGCTTCCAGCAAACTTCCAGCTGCCAGCTGATGATTGGCTCACAGCGGCCCCAGCAACATCTAGCTGATTGGCTCCTCTGTGGTGATGCTCATTGGGCCGTTTCCCTGCCCTTTCAGACCACGGAGCTGCTCATTGGGGGACTTCTTTGGCTCCGTCCACGCGACCCAGCCAATCGGCCTCAAGAGCAGGAGGATTGTGGGAGTGGGAGAGGCTTGTGTTTGTGTGGGAGAGGCTTGTGGGAAGCCGGTGGTGGCAGTTGGGCTCTGAGGGTTTTTCCTGAGGAGCTGTTTTGTTTGGCCTGTGTGGTTCTAAAAATAAAGTTCGTTTCTTTTGACAAGTGGCTCCTGAATTGTGCCCAGCCAGACTTCGATAGGGAACCACCCTTGGAAGGTATTGAGGTACCCTGGTTGGAGGGAGGGAGGGGAAGAGAAGGAAGAGAGAAGAGAGAGAGTGAAACTGGTTCCTTGAATCCCTCTGGCTTCCTATATCATCATGTGATTGCTTCTGTATATGTTTCTAGCATTGTAATGCCAACTGCCATGAGGTCTTATCAGAGGCCAAAAAGATGAGGTCTTAGATATGTTCTCTTTTTTTTAGAGTAAAATATTCATGATAATTCAAAACTGTATTAGGCTATTAATTACAGATTATAAGTACAGTTCGGTATTTTGGAGAATGGACTGAAGAGGGGCCATAATTAGTTACCCTAAGAAATAATGGTGGTAATAGTAGAATAAGACTTCAGTGAATTGAATGTAGTTTGTAGGATATAGTTTGTGAGAGAATGTTGTTGACCCATGCCACTGGGGGATGAGGATGCTTCCTTACTTACTATGGAAGACATGAGAAGATCCAGATTTACAGGGGAAGATTATGTGTTCAATTTTTTATGGGCTGAGTTGGAGGTAACTTTTAAACATCTAAACAGATTTGGCATGACATGGAGACAAATTATCTTAAAAACGTAGAAGTCTTTACCTAACTAAATAATTAATACACCAAGGCAGGCTTGTAGATCTCTTTTACTTCAAGAGACATTTGCTGCCTAATTGGGCACTTCTATAGAGTTCTGATGTGGCTGACATCTCCCCTCCCCCTGATTTGGAATCTTAACCCGTCTTCTGTCACCCCTGGAGTTTTCTGCCTGGTTTCCCTTGGGGGCACATCAAGTCCTCCCACAAATTGCATCTCCAGTGTTTTGAAGTCTGAGGTGCCTAAGCAGATTATATTTTCCCTAACTCTCTTTAAAGGCACAATTACATTTACCAAACTTCTGTTATATGCATTGCACTGCACTACTTCTGATATTTTTATAGAAAATATTCTCTTGCATTAAAAGGTAATGTGAAGCAAGAGGGTAAATCCAAAAAAGAACTCAAGAATGGAGGAATGGTGCTAGAAACACTAGTTGTGAGTATGGAATTCACTCAAATATAGGTAAAAGAAGAAACTAATGGGAGAATTATGATTTATGTCAGTGCCTCAAATTCTGACAAAATTTTAAAAAAACAAAGCAAGGGTAGTGGGCAGAAGTGAAGTAGGGCTTCATCATTTCTATTGGGTAGTCTATCTAAACTATAAAATAAACTGTGTATTTAAAACTGCCAGCAACAAATGATGACGCCAGACTTCTAATGACTTAATTTGTTTCTTCATTTCAGATGGTAAAGAAACATTTATCTGACATTCTGCAATTTCCTGCTTTACCTCAGTTTCTTTTTTCTTTGCAAGGGCACATAAAATATGATTAAACATTTTAAAATGGTAAATATTGTGTAATTTTATTCTAATGAAAATTATCTATTCATCCATCCATCCATCCACCTACCAAGTTTTATTCTCATTTCTGCCTCTATGCTGCTTTACATTCTGTAATAATAATATCTGTAGATGCCTTTTTTTAGTACTAAGGTGCACATTATTAACATTGATTACTTCTGGGTGGCAAGATTTGAAGTGAATTTTTATTTTTGGGAATTTCTCTGCCTATCTGAACTTTTCATGATTTAGTAAAAGAAGATAGCATTAGATGACACTCTCCCAGGAATTAGATTTTTTTCAGATTACATGCAAGATATCTGAATGCATTTGAAATCTTATTTAATATGTGATGAAGGCTATTTTACTACTTTCAACTATTCATTTGAAAGGAACATTTGTAAAGATTCCTACATTTTTACAAACACTGTGGAGCCTACAAAACATTTCGTCTTGCATGTTTCACTTGTCTAATTAGAAGTGTGAGCCTTTTCCATAAGTTTCATCATCTGTCTTTAATAACTACATTGGATTTATATTTGTAATACAGAATCCTACCCCAAAGGGAGGGATATCACACCACTGGTTTTATTGGTCTTGGAGAACAGTAAGGCCATTGAAAGTACTCATAGAAACAGAAAAATCAGCGCATGTTATATGTGATACCTGGATCTGTTGTAAAAGAAGAAAAACAAATTGAAAATTAAATATAAACTGTGTTGAGATAATAAGAGCTCTGGTTGAATTCCTAATAACTAAGAAATTTGTTTAGGTCTGACACATGAGACTTAACATGTTTCTTTATGACTAGACTTATATTTGAAAGGAAAGAAACCATTTTCAGAAGCTAATTGACTCAGAAATTAAAGGAATGAATGGTGGCTACCAGAGGCTGGGATGAATAGGGAGGGAGGGGGAGAGGTTGATCAGTGCGTACTAAGTTATGGTGGAATAGGAGCAAGACCGTCTGTTGTGCTCTCTTGCAGGCTGACTATAGGTAATGATAAGCTACCATATATTTTGAAATGCCAGAAGAAAGGATTTTGAGTGTTTTTACCATAAAAAATGATAAACATTTGATGAGATAGATAAGTTTAACCTGTACGTAAACATGCAGTATATACAGGGATAGAGATATCACATGGTGTCCAGTAAATACATATAAGTTTTAAGTATGTTTCAGTTGAAATTTTAAATGCTCAGAAATAAAAATATTTAAATATAAAAATAAGGCAATTGAAGTTTTAACGGATGCATTTTCATTTTCTGTGGCAGAGGTTTAATCTTTCTCTCTGTCTCCCTCATCTTCCCCCTCTCACCCCACCCGCTCTCTTTCTTCTATTCTTTTTCTACGTGTATTTATGGCATTATTTTCTTAGTCCTCCCTTCCAGATCTGACAGATGTGAGCTATGCCCTAACACCATGGGTCTAAGTCAGGCCTCAATGTGCTCTAACCCCAGTGTTTATGCTGCCCATTAAAGGCATCACTTTTGGGAAATATATAGGGAGTTAAATGATCTCTGACAGCTGTGAACTGCAGAAAAAAAGGACTCTATTGTTCAAAGAGCTGCCTTTAATATTGAGAAGCCCTTGCTAAACACTGGAGTCTGCAGTATGGCAAATGTTAATTGGCCGTAAACTTAACAAGAGCTGGTTTGCCTCCCTCCCCTCTAACTCCCCCAGCCTATTTTCCTCTCTGCCACTTCCAGAGTTCTAGTTTCTCATACTGTATTTCCATGGCCCTGCAAACTCACTTCAGAGCTTCTCTCAGACTTTTGGAAATGCTATTATCTCCTAATACTTTTTTTCTTTGCCAAAACAAATAGTGTATAGCTCATACTCATTAGAAACAAAAGTTCAGAGCCTTTGTATGGTCTGTGGATGTCCATGGGGTTCCTGAGGGCTTTCTAGATCCTTTGGCCTTTATAAGCCATAAAATGTCCATTTTGTTCTAGTGCTTCTACAATGACTTTCTAGAGCAAAGTTTTACTTATTCTGAGGTATTTTATGACTGATTAGCAAGAGAATAGTGTGGGATCATGTAATTCTTTCAGACAGGAAGAAAATCCCATAACCTTGATGGGCTTCTTACCGATCTCTAAATATTTTGTAACCTTTTCCACTATCCCAATTTTATGTGTCTCCTATAAGACTTAACTCAAATCCCACTTTTGTCTTATTACCAACATTTGTAAGTTCCTCTGATAATGAAAGACTCATCTTGCTAGTTCATACATATATTTGCCATAATGAGATTTCACAGAACTTGATTATTTTAAAAAAATAAGACTAATTAAATTTGTTACTAAGTATGGCTGAATATTTGCCTCTTATATGTAAATTTACAAATCCAAAGAGTGACTGGAGTTTTAGTTGTATCCATTTATGTTGTCATCTTTGCAGTCTACACCATTCAATTAAGTGCCTAGTTATGTCATGTCACAGATTAATATTTTGAAAGCTTACCAGACTGAGCAATGCTATGTACCTTCTGCATGCATTTGTTGGGTCTCCTTATTAAGATTGTGTGCTTCTTAAGGGTTGGGCTGTAGCACATCATTTGGTCACTAAAGTGACCCATTCTTATACCCAATTCCTAGCTGAACACATTGCAGGTGCTCATTGAGTCATCAAAATGAACACTTTTAAAACTGGAAGAGATCATAGAAATCATCTAACATTCTATCACTTTGTACTTAATTTATTTTTGTCTTGAACACTTTTCTGGTTTTATAGAAATGGTAATTTTGTTTATTTTAAATTTTATGTAATTTTCTTCAATAATTACACATTTAATTATCTGAAACAAATTCTGCTCCTTGCCCAAGTCTCAATCAATGAACTTAACCCTTGGTGAGGCCTTCTTTGACTTTTCCTGGATGACTTATCTGCTGGTCCTTCCACGACTCCATTATATCATGTACCACATCATGGTGTATGATTTTACATGTTAATTGTTGGCTTTCCCACTGCACTGTAAGCTCCTCAAGGAAAGAGAACATGGCATTTCATTTTTAAGATTAATAACAATGCCCTCCAAAAAATGGAGTTGGCAGACCAATTATCAAAGTATCCAGTCCCTGGGTTTGCAATAAGAGGGAGAAGAGGGCGAAGTTGACGAAGAAGAGGGAGAAGAAGAGGGAGAAGTTGACGAA